TGTTCTCACCTCTCCTTTGGCCTTCTTTTAGAGAGACAATGACAAGGATCATAAGGTCCGACTGGCCGTAGGGAACGGAATAAGGGAAGACACCTGGGTTGAGTTCCTGGAGCGATTTGGGAACATTTGTATCCGTGAATGCTACGGAGCAACTGAAGGGAATGTTGGCTTTATCAACTATGGTGGGAAAGTTGGAGCTGTTGGCAGAGAACATTTTCTCTACAAAGTAAGATGTAATAATAATAATAATAATGATACATTATATTTATAGGCACCTTTAAGACCCTCAAGGTCACAAAAAAGTAGCAACAATGCAACAATACAACAAATATTGCAAAATAAACTTTAAACATAAGGTAAATGAGGGGAAAAAAGCCAGCATGAAAGTATGAAAAGTAAGCAAGGTAAAAATAGACCAAGACGGAATCAAGGGTATGCAATTCTGAATAGATGGGTTTTGAGACGTGATTTCTAATTAATGAGAGAGTTTGTAGTCCAGAGATCTGGTGGAAGTGCATTCCAAAGTCTCGGGGCAGAATAACTAAAGACTCTGAGTCCCATGGTAGTCAGGCGAGCAGGTGGAAGAGACCGAAGGGAAGCTGAAGAAGAGCGGAGTGTACGAGGGGATGAGTATGTATGGAAAGATCGGATAAATATGGAGGTGCAAGGTTGTGAAGATGGATAGATGTGAAAAAGAAAAGCACACCCTCTTTCAATTCTAAAGTTACATAATTATAAAACGATAACATTAGTCCACCTTTCTTTATAATGTCACTTCAAGTTGCTTCAGTTGTCAGACAGATGGTCTCACATTTGACTCTAGAATACTTTGGTATACGGAGGAGTTCATGGTCAACTTAATGACTGCAAGATGATCAGGTCCTTTGGCTGCAAAACTAGTCCAGACCATCTCCTCTTCACCATCCTGCTTCACAGTTTTTATGCTGTGCTTGCTTTTCACAAGATATGCCACTGTGTACAGTCCATTTTCCCAAAGGTCTTGTGGTTTGTTCAGATGAATTTTGCAAACCTAAGCCATGCTTAGAAGAACCATGGCTTAAGTCATAGCTTTTTTAGAGAAACGTTTTGTCACTCAAGTAACTTCAGTCTCAGCTGAATGCAACAACCTTATAAAGAGTACATTTGCATAATGGCTGAAACTAGTGCCACTGGTGGACAATTGGCTGTGAGTCTCTGTGAGGCCAGTGAGCCTTTTTTCAGAGGTTAACTGGACCTCTGTATAGGGAGATGTGGCATGATTTATATGACTAACTGCTTATTCTCTTCAATGTATCTGTAAACTGTTTCAGATGGCATGCAAATATGCCCTCATAAGGTTTGACACAGAAAAAGAGGAGCCAGTTAGAGACTCCAGAGGATTTTGTGTTGAAGTCCCAAGAGGTGAGCCTGTCTCTTAAGGTGCCGCCTTGACTTTTAAGCTGCTATTTAAACGTATACTGTTACTTTTACTCGCAGGAGAAACTGGTCTGCTTGTGGCAAAGATTGGAAAAAGAACACCCTTCAGTGGCTATGCCAAGGACAAGCAGCAGACAGACAAGAAGAAGCTAAGAGATGTGTTCGAGAAGGGCGACATGTACTTTAACAGTGGCGACCTTCTAAAGATTGACGACGAGGGATTTCTCTTCTTTCAAGACCGCATTGGAGACACTTTCAGGTCTGTGAAACATAATAAATGAATTTGACAATCTGGGTGAAAGGTCAGGACAAGGAGTACCAGAGAGTGTTTTTTGTCTTAAAAGCACAACTTAGTGTGACCCCCAAAAAGTTGATTCTGTTAATCTGGACGTAGCATTTTCAGTGGGAGAAACGTTATGTCACTCATCCAAGTGACTGCACTCAAACCAGCGTTCCTCCCCGTCCAGGATGTGTACATCGTCATCATTGAAAGAGTGTCCACTGCCCTGCAAATGTATAAATCCTGGCAATCCTCCTGGCACTTTACAGCATACACTATATTACTCTGTTTGTGTTGGGGAAACCGATCCGTGGGGTGGACCAATTTTTGGTGCAGCGTGTTTTGGGGTTTAAAAGCCACAGAGACTCAGTGTTTAGAAAAAATGCGTCTCAACTGATCCAATGCTACTGACACATACGGGATCAATACGGGTTTGCGCTTAGGCAGCAGTTGTCCTTCTGTCTGGAACAGCTGGATGAATGTTTAACAGATTGCTTACAATCTGGGGTTATAGTTGTAAAATAAGGCCAGAAAGTTTACTTCTTCACTTGAAATAGAATTTAAGCTATGGAAAAAACAGTAATACCCTCAAGTTTAGGATATATCATATATAATTTCAGAATTACGGACACTGTGGTGAGTCTAATCTAATTGCTTTCAGTATTTTATTCTTTATAGTTAAACCTAAACATCTTTGATGAACTATTATCTCAGTGTTTTAGGGAAGTTTGTTACTTTTGTGTGTCCCTGCTGAAAAAAGATACACTGCAGCTGAGTTCTGCAAATACTCTGTATTATATGTGTTACAGGTGGAAAGGAGAAAATGTGGCAACCACGGAGGTGGCTGACCACCTGCTCGCAGTTGACTTTGTTGAAGAGGCTAATGTCTATGGTGTGAAGGTGCCAGGTAATAATGACACTAAAAGCAAGATTATTGTGATGTATGTCTCATAAATATTACAAACATCTTTTTCCAGAATTCTAAGAAAAAAACTCAGAATTCAGAAGTTTCTTCTTGGAATTCTGAGATTAATCGCATATTTCTGACATACTGAGGAAAAACTCTGAATGTTTGGATTAATGTCTGGATTCTGAGGGTATTTTTTCTTCTTTTTACTTTGACCTTCACTGAATAGGACACGAGGGAAGAATTGGAATGGCAGCGCTGAAACTGAAAGAAAATATGGACTTTGATGGCAAAGCTTTATATCAGCATGTCAAAAACTACTTGCCCAGCTACGCAAGACCACGCTTCGTTCGCATACAGGTAAATAAAGTTCAATGAATGATCACATTAAGATATATCTGCATATATCTTAGCAATAATCCCGTAACCATTTCATTTTTCTCTGGCAGGATGCATTGGTAGTGACGAGCACCTTTAAGCAGATGAAGGTGAAGCTGGCAGAGGAAGGTTTTAACCCTGCTCTCATCAAGGATCCTCTGTTTTACCTGGAAGACAATAAGGGCTACATACCCATGACTCAGGAGTTATTCAACTGCATTGCAGAAGGAAGACTCAGGCTTTAAACGAGTTCAGCGCTGATTTTTTTATTGTCAGTCTCAAAAACATTAGTGTTTACATTAATCTTTACATTGTGGATATACAAACATACAATGGCATGCATTTCATTTTTTTTATTTTTCAACTCATTTTAGTCTGAAATACTTTCTTGTTTTTAATGATTTTTATATGAGTAAATCCCATATCGCCGACACTGTTATTTGGTGACTGTGTTGGTTGACTGTGTGCTGAAGCAAACTGCTTATCAATCAATAGGTGAATTATTGTGTGGATGTGAGGTACACTTTGTGCTGGTTTTGGGCTCGTCAGAGGAGTTTAGGAGCAGTGGAAGTTTCCAGTGGTGTAGGAGGGGGGGCTGTGTTTGTTACAGCAGAGGAAGACATACAGTTCACTCTTCTGCAGGTGGAGGGTAAGTGCTTTTGAGCTGCTGGAGAAACCTTCAGAGGGCAGCAGAGCTGGTGCCGACCACACTGCACCCACTGGTTACAGAAGCTGGGAACGCTGTAGAACTTTGTCAGCTTTTTCAGGACCTGTTTTCCCAGATCATTTGAAGGCATCTCCTCAATATTTATTGTCGCACCAGCTCCTGTTGTTGAAGGCACAGGAAGGCCACCAGCAGCATCTTCGACTATAGGCCTCGTTTCAAAATCATAGCCACACAGGGACCTGATATAAGTGTAAGGCAGGGGCTCGCTGCTGCAGCTAAGAGATCGCATTGGTCTTCTAGACCGATTCCAAGCTTTGTCAATCCACAACTCCACTTGAGCTTTTTCCAGCCTGGCAACAGCATCCTCTTTCTCATCAGACCCGGTGTCTAAGACCGGGTCTTGGTATTCTTCATCACCTATTACATCATCTTCCCCTGATTGTGACTGGTCTGCATAATTCAAAGCCTGTGTCTCAGCCAGGAGAGTGGAAGCTGTTTTACAGATAATGCCCCAGTCCCTGAGGATGTCATCGGCAGTAGTGTACTGTGAGGTCACCGTAAACCGGATGATGCGTTTGGTATAAATATCCGCAGGAATGAGGTACATGGTGCCTGACCGGGTCAGTCTCCTCAGCAGCTCCTGGGTCAAAGTGTTCCCTCCCAACAAAAAGAAGATACAATAAAATGTTTATAAGTCTTTGTGTAAAGCCACAAAACCCTTACTAACACATCTGTGTTTACCCTTTTCCTACTATTTTTGCCATTTCATCTGGGAACTAGCTGACCACATTCAGGTATATAACAAACCACCATTGAACAAGGCGTAATCGGGACTTCTTAGCACATGTCAGTAATGATTTTCTGGTGAAAACTATAAGGTCAACATATTTATAGTTTACTGCACAATTCAGGTACAAGGAGAAGTTGCATACTTTCAGGCAGAAGACCACCAGGCCGAGGTGCCTCTTAGCAGGAACCTCAAAATCTGTGTTGCTCCTAATATGAGACTCCAAGAGTTTTGCCATCTGAATCCCCTAAAAAAAAACCCCAAAGCAAACAAACAAAACTTCACATTAAATACACTTTCTATAATGGAAGTCTAATATTGATATCTATTTTAGAAGAATGCCACTTACATGTCTGATATGAGCCTGGAGGTTTTTCAATCCAAAGGAGCGCAGAACAAACCAGAGCTTCAGAGCACGGAAGCGTCGACTGAGAGGTATTTGCCAGTGCTGAACCAAAGAAAAAAAGTAGTGTTCAGATGAGACTGTAACATTTTGAACTGGTGAATAAGTAATGATGACGAACCATAAAGTCGGTGGCTGCCAGTGAGTTTTCATGTCTGAGGTAAACAGGATCAACACTGAAGGTCTGCTGGAGCTTGTATTTATCCTTTACCCTGAGATCAACAGTTAATTAAATCACCAGCTTAAAAGCATTCTTCTGTTTAAATTTGCATTTTGTCAGATGTAATTTTGCAGATATTATAGAGACAGAGTTGAGGTATGGCTTAAATGTCTCTACTCACCAGAATGCTGTGCAGTCAAAATGGACCATCATCCACTTAGAAGGGTTGAAAACAAAAGAGTGCGCAAATTCAATGCCCTTCATTGACCAGCGGAGCTCCGGACAAAAGTAGGCAGAGCCAGCATACGCGGCATCAACATGGAGCCAGAGTCCCTCTTCCTCACCTGCAAAAAGATTTCAATTTCACTTCTAACTTCATCTTATGTATGCAAAGAAAAAAAATAAGTCTGACTCTGCAGTATGATTTGGAAGTAAAATTAAAAGACACACAGACTGGTCCCAGTTCCGATAGCTTATCGAAGGCACACGCTCCAGTAGTTCCCAGAGTTGAACACAGCTGAAAATGACAGAATGGGTCAGATGAGATCCAACATGCAACACGGGTTTGTTGTGTACTTTTGAAGCTAAAAATCACAGTTTCCTCATGATATGAGATGATATACAAGTGTCCCGATTAATGATGTACAACGTTTTGCTACTTATTTTCATATTTTTTTCCAAGTTTAAAAAGAAATTATTCGGACAATTTTTCAGTTTTAAAAGAAATGAAGCTGAACTTCAACTTCCAGACATTTGATTTTCTTTAAATGCACCATCAAAAAAATAGATTGTAAAACAGTTTCTGCATGCATCTGTGTTTGCCATGCAGCAGAAAAATCAAACAAAGGCACTGATTGGCTGATGCTACAGTTTGCCGATTCTGATTTTTATATACTGCAGCGTTAGTATATGCTTTTAAAAATGTGATGGGTATTGTGGCACATATTAGGTAAGCTACTAGATTCAAAACAATATGGGGATTCTTAAATTCTCTGCAGAAATGTCCCATTGAGGTTTCAAACACACATACCAGGAAGGGGACAAGTCCTCTTGCCCTGTCTTCTTGTATGGCTTGTTTCAAAGTGTCTCCTCTCAGAGACAACTCGTCATCGGTCGGCAGAAACCTGATCTTCACCAGTGAGATCAGTCCTGCCTTTTCAACTGATGAATGAGCCTATAAAAGCAACATCTGATCAGTTTTACGGTTCAGTTTATCAGGCTGATAGGAAGCTCCTGTGCAGCTTACCTGATCCGAAGCGTAGGCCACTAGTCTTGAGTTTATGACGGAGTCGTCCACGTCCTGGTCAAGCTCGGCCCGCAGCTGCAGGATTTTATCTTTCCTGGCTGCCAGCAGAGCAACCAGTGTGCTCTCACTGACTGTACTCTGACGAGAGAGCCAAGTAGGTCAGAAACACAATGAGGCCCCGAAAGACTGTAAACTTCGTGGCTCTAGAGCAAACAGATTAGGATGTTGCACACCTGCAGGATGCCTCCACCTCTGCTGTCAGGATGGTAGTGAAGAAAGAAAGAGGGGAGCTCTAGTGCTTTACACAGCCAGTCCATCACATTCATTTCCAGCTCTGTGCATGCTGGGCTTGAGGCCTGAAAAAACAAGCAAATAAGACATCACTGAAGCAGATGGTAGCATGTGATTGATTGTCTTTTTGGTCATTGCGTACCCAAGTGAACCCAACACAGTTGATTGCATCTGCCAGCATATCCCCGAGCATAGAGGGCCATGAAGTCAGACTGGGATAGTAGGCGTGCATGTGAGGGCTCTGCCAGTGAACCACCTGGGCAGAGAGATAGGAAAACACTCGCTTGCCATAAATGTATTTCATGATCATTTCAGTGAACTGAACAAGCAAGGTGTTCAGTGTGACACTTACCCCTGGCATGATGACCTTCTCAATGTCATTGAAGATATTCTCCCAGTCCTCCGGCTCCGTAGGTGCAGCCTCAGGAAGAAGCTGCCTCATGTAGCCAGGTTTCACATCAGGAATGACCCTCCTCTCCCTGATGGAGCCCAGGTACTTTGTGATGTAGTCCACCATCTCCTTACCTGATCAATAAGAGATCACTGCAAGTTATTCATATTCATTTTCTTTATTATGTGCTTGTTGGCATTTGAAGTTAAATATCAACATCATCCAAAATGAGTCCATGATTACCTCTGCGATTGTATTCCTCAGCTTGCATTTTCGGAGATGAGACCTCTTCGAGTTACTTTGTCGTGTGTAACAGGTGACTGCAGTGAGGCTTTGTGTATTTGGGAGCAGAGATTACACCACTATATAGATCCTGTTGTGAAGAACACGCCCCAAATTGGTGACGCATTTGAACCACAAGGCAAATGTCTTTCATGTATTTTTTCCATCACTGGCTTCACATTTGCACTAAATATTTACTTTCCTCTTGCAGCCGGAGATTTAATTTTTTTTCATATCCACGTGAAATGATACAGGATTAGAACAATATAATCAATAGTGTAATAGGTTATATAAAAGTTATGAAGAATTCTTTTTCACTATTACACCTGAATCCCTCTGTAATGCAGAAAAATAATTTATGTGTCAAATCAGATTATACAGAGACCCTTATATTTTCAAACTGGTGTTCAGGCCCCTCACAAGGTTTCTGTTGTTTTTTGTGTGTGCGTGTGTGTAAATTATATATTTGGTGACATCTCTCTGACCCTTAATCTTTAGGGAAACACAATTCGATACAATTAACCTCCAGTCTCTTTTCCTCCCCTCTTCTTACTCCAACAGGTTATGAATGATGATGGATCATGATGAGCGATATTTTCAATGTATGATGACTCTTCACAAAGTAATAAAAGTAAAAAAAAATAAATAAACAAACAATAAATGTAAACACAGTAAAAGGTACTGGGATGATGAGGGAAAATCATTTATGTCATTAGCTTAATGCAGCCTTTTAAACCCTGACAAAAGCCTGAGCAGCACCTGGACTGTTCGCACACTGCACTGTTTACTATGCATTGTGCTCAGCATGTGATAGCTCTCATGTGGTGCTCTGGGGAAACCAGTCGCTGGATGACAATCGAGCCACAATTCAAACCTACAAAGCACGCATTATTGGTAAGTCACCGAGAGAGAGCAAGCACACTGAAATTAATAACATGTTTATCTAAGACATATGTAAACATATCTAATCAATCAATGAATTCATGAATCAAAAATGAATAACTGGCAAGCAACAACGGAAGATTTATTTTTTTACTCTTTCATTTATTTTAATTCATTTGTAGTTATTTTTTGTAACACACTGTGCATGCTTGTACTTGATTAAACTTTACCATTAACCATTTACTGCTCTCTAATAATAGTATAATTCTTTCACTTAAAATGTCATTAGTTTTGTCACATAAGATGAAAAGAACCACACAAAGTTAAAGAAATCCATAAATGCACTTGCATGAGTGTTTATTCTATCATTTCCTTCATTAAAGCTGCGAACAAGCAACTTCGCATGGAAGCTTCTAATCAAATGTGCCTGGTTTGAGAGCAAGAAAAGGCTTCATCACTGAACTTCTCCACATTCCCAGCGTGGTTCCAGAGATACACACAGGCTGTTCTTTGCTGCAGGTACTGTGACACACTTTTAGTGGCAAAGGTGAGGTGGATCTTCCTAATTCTTACATACAACTGTCTGCTTGTGAATGCAAGTATCTAATGAGCCAGTCACACA